TGGAACCGAGATTAATACACTGGTTCACTTAGCTTGTCATCCATACCAGCGATTGGTTCAATAATGCAGTCACACCATACCTTATTCATGTTTAATTAAGTATTATACAATCAGCCAATTGAGAGAGCTGCCTACAGAAGTTGATCGTTCTATGCAATCCCCAGGCATTAGTTGATGGTTTCTTTTCTTTTTTTTATTGTATTTGTTTAATTGTACATCGTTTTCCCGTATTTTTGTTATTAATATACTCCTTTATGTTCCTCAAAATGAAAAAATATGAATACATATATATGAGAAGGGCGCGGGGTTAGGAGGATATAATGGGGTAACTGTGTGGGGTATTTCCCAGGACCAAAATCCAATTGAAACCAGTTGAAATCTCCAACTGGTTTCAATTGGCTTTAACTGGTTTCAATTGGTTTCAATTGGTTTCAATTGGAATAGAACATTTCCAGTTGAAACCAATTGCCGAACTGGAAAATATTGTTATAGGTACTCATTTCCAGTTCAAACCAATAAGAAGTGCAACTGGAACCAGTAAGATAATTTTTCCAGTTACTCAATTGGTTCCAGTTAGAAGTCATTTCCAGTTACCCAACTGTTTCCAGTTAGAAGTTCAACTGGAAACAGTAAGATATGATTTTCCCGTTACTCAATTGGTTCCAGTTAGAATTCATTTCCAGTTACCCAACTGGTTCCAGTTAGCATTCATTTCCAGTTAGAAGTCATTTCCAGTTACCCAACTGGTTCCAGTTAGAATTCATTTCCAGTTACCCAATTGGTTTCAGTTAGAAGTCATTTCCAGTTACCCAACTGGTTCCAGTTAGCATTCATTTCCAGTTAGAAGTCATTTCCAGTTACCCAACTGGTTCCAGTTAGAATTCATTTCCAGTTACCCAACTGGTTCCAGTTAGAATTCATTTCCAGTTACCCAACTGGTTCCAGTTAGCATTCATTTCCAGTTAGAAGTCATTTCCAGTTACCCAACTGGTTCCAGTTAGAATTCATTTCCAGTTACCCAACTGGTTCCAGTTAGCATTCATTTCCAGTTAGAAGTAATTTCCAGTTACCCAACTGGTTCCAGTTAGAATTCATTTCCAGTTACCCAATCGGTTCCAATTGGAAATATTTCCAGTTACCCAACTGGATCCAATTGAAACCAGTTAATTTGCATATTATCTGCTTGTGTGCAGATCAATGTTTTATGTAATTTATTTTGATTTACAATGTATTTATTAATTAATTTTCATTTGCAAGTAATGCATTTGTTTTAGATAAATATAAAGATTAATTAGCAATGATAAGCATGTTCATTAGTAACATATTTTTGTAATTACACAGATTAAAAGTTGATTGGTAAAACACTAACCATGTACAAAATACATCAAATACAAACATATACTAGATTTGTAATACTTGTTTGAAACAAGTATAGGTGGGCTGGTCCAACTAAAATTTAAGACAAAATAAAGGGCACATTTGAGATAGCGTATTGTCTCAGCTACAACATACTCGAAGTTCAGCGTAAACAAAGCTAAAACGACAGAGATATTGCTCGCGAAAGACGGAAATGTAGAATCCAGTTTTGAGAAAAACTCATGTCCCTTAGAGAATACACGCAAAAAGTGAAAAATTGACATGCCTCCTTTAATCGCACAAATACGTCCTGATGCCTTTGTCAAAATGAAAATTTATGGCAGCCATATTTGTAGAACATTGTCTCAGGTAGAACATATCAAAATTTGGAAGAAAATTGATCAATATTTTTAGAGATACAGTCAATTTAAAAAAAATATGCTGACATCATAATATGCAAATTGAAATTTTGAGTTCGGAGGTCATCATGATGACGTCATGAGTTAATTGAGGGTCAAATGAAACATGAAATCATATCTCCAATTTATTTTCTATCAAAATATGAAAACAAAATTGGGGTCACCTTGCAGCCTAAAGAGCTACAATGGATTTTGTATAGTCATGTTTTTGCCCATATATGCTATGTATTACAAGAGCTCGCGCGCACTGAAATTTATGTTAAACGGTCGATCATTCCGTTATTAATAGTCATTAAGAGACAAACATGGTATCAATTTGTTTGTAAAAATATGTGGAATATTATGAAAGAAAAAAAATGGCGATTCTATGTTGTGTAAAAGTTTTACGCGCGAAAACGCGCGCGCATGCGCGTGTGAGCAATTTTTTATAAAATGCTTAGAATGGCCTAAAACGTATGCAAAATGATTTTGAGACGATTTTGAGCATTTTAAAAATTTGCGCGCGCATTTACGCGCGGACGTACGCGCACGCGCGCGTTATTTGACCTGAAATTGACCGGACGGATATTGACCTTGATCATAATAAATATGAATGAGAAATACCTTTTGGTTATGAAGATATGATCATGAGTTGATTTTCGTAAAATTTTACAAAATGGCGCTTAGATGACGTCATCAGTGAAGGTCAATATTGAAAACGTTATTGTGCTTTGTACATATGCCTATACATATGTGTGCCAAATTTCAAGGCATTTGATCGAGCCATTTCCAAGTTATCTTGCCAACAAAAAAGTGGTTAGAAATAAGAAAAATATATAATAATAAATAAATAAATAAAGGCAATTCTAACGAAATTATAAGGTGGTCTGTACGTTATACAGCCCACCTGATAATGGCAATGCCTTACTTGTTAAGTATATTATATGGTCTGCATATTATAATGCCCTTTACATTGTAGTTAATGTAGACACATATAGCAATGCTTCTGTGTTGACATGAGCGATAATTAGTGCAAGAGCTAATTAACTTATAACTAATTAAGTTTATGCCAACTGTAAGTTTCAATTGGATCCAATTGAAACCAATTGAAACCAGTTGAAACCCATTGAAACCAGTTGAAGCCAACTGGTTTCAATAGGGAAAATGGAACAACTGGTTCCAGTTGAAACCAATTAGGCAACTGGAACCAGTTGGCAATTGGTTTCAACTGGTTTCAATTGGAACCAGTTGGCAATTGGTTTCAACTGGTTTCAATTGGATCCAGTTGGCAACTGGTTTCAATTGGAACCAGTTGTTCCAATTTCCCTATTGAAACCAGTTGGCAACTGGTTTCAATTGGTTTTGCTCCAATTGGTTTCAACTGGATTTTGGGCCTGGGTTGCCACGGGGATGATATCGGATATATTTGTCGGTATAATCAGGAATAGCTGTCCAGATTAATTCGTTGGTGCTGAATCTTACATGAACATCATTTCAAGTTAATGGAGTTACATCATTTTGTGACAGTACTCATTTATCTTTTAAATGATGAAGGATGAGAAAATTCACACTCTATAAGACGATGATTTGCAACCTTATTCTGTTTCCACAGATGAACGTGTTCCGATGTGAGTGCATGCCACAGACGTAGAACGGCTACAAGGAAACACAGGCAACCTTTCCTGAAAGCAAAGTTCCGTATGATAATGATAGTGATTTGCAGAGAGTCATGGTCTAACGTGCCGAGGTTACAGGTTATTTAGAGCTTAGCAAAAGCACTCACCGTTTTTTTAATCTCGCAAACTGCTGTAAGCCTTCACTCATCATGGACTATGACAGCTCAAACTCGTACACTTTTCTCTCTAATGACTTTCTAGATTATGACACCATAGGCCCCATTAGTATTTTGGCGATCATTTTCTTCGTGTTCGTCATCTTTTTCGGAACCACTGGAAATGTTCTGGTCGTCGTAGCTTTCTGGATGAATCCTCCGCTCCGGGCGCACTCGATTAATATATACATGGTCCAGACGAGCCTCGTCAACCTTATCGTGTCCGCTCTTATCAACCCTATCTATATCATTATCATCTTTCTCAATTTTGATGATATTAAAACATTGATTGCCGTCGACTATTCCAACTTGGCCGTCATGCACCTTGGAAATACTCTGTCGATGTACAGCCTTTCCGCCGTTGCGACCAACCGATATCTCCTGATAGCGCGTCCACGAACAACTTTTCAGAGCTGGTGTGTCCCTCGCCGAAGAATAGCCGTTGTGATTGCTGGTCTCTGGTCAGCAGCGATCCTGACATCTTTTCCTTACTGGGCGTTCCTCTACTACGACCTTTACGTTGTCATCGACTCATATGAAGTATATGGAAGACTCAAAATCGCAGGGAGCAGCTGTATAGGGCCTTTGAGGGAGTTTTTAATCCGGGGGGTATTAATCCCTTTTAATTACTTAATCCTTTTTAATGACTTCCATAAAACAATAGGGAAGAGGAAATGAAATTTAACGAGGTATTTCCGGTCAGGATGTGTGTTAATTAATGCAGGTATTTCCTGTCAGGATGTGTGTGAATTAATGCAGGTAGTTTTTTTTCATGGGAAAGGGGGGCATCTGGGTCATAAAACTGGAATTATGAGGGTCTTTCCTCTGGAGGAAGTGTTTACATCATGAGTCATCATCATCATGGGAGAGGTCTGGGGATGGACGTGTTACTGGTAGGACGGGCAATGACCAAATGACCAAAACAATGGGCCTGTGCCAGTTATGTTGTTTGTACGCAGGTACGTATTTCCGACCAATGAGAATGCGAGGATCCTTGTTGGAGTGACGTCACCATTGTGCGTGCTTGTGATTGGATGAGGAAAAAGGATGGGGTGACTGAGAGGGGCGTAACCTAAGGGGTGAGGTAAGGTATAAACGTCGGAGGATTCGCACCATTTTGTATCATAGACAGCGCTAAATTAGTGAATCATGCATGAGCTATTCATAGCTAATTAGCATTAATTAAAAGAACAATAGACTAATTAAGAGCTCCTTCCCCCTTAAAGGAGTGCGTTGTGATTGGTCGTGGGGTGTGGTGCATTGAGACGTGTAGTGAAGAGACAAAATATACACCAGGGTGGTGTTGAGATAAGGTATCACATTCAGCACTGAGCTACAATTCATTCTTTGAAAGCATCTCTATAGCATATACCACACGTAGGTCTAACTCTTTATATATAACCATGGTGGCCACTCGCTCACCGAAAAAGTCTACCACTACAACAGCCACCATCCACAACACTGTGTTAAACACGCCTAAGATCAGGATGATACCAGAGAACAACGCCACCAATGTCTTACATCGGGCCAGTTTTTCAATGTCTCCGGTGGAGCAGAAGAAGCTCAAACCAGCAATCCCTCCTGAACTCTTGGCAATGAGGGTAAGTGTCCATAAGTCAAGTAATATACTGATTTGTTTTTACAAATTCAATATATCATGTTATGCTATGTGTTATTAATTTTTGTTTGTAAACTTTTGTAATTCGGCTTAATGCCGCGATGACAGTTTTATTTGAAATAAACCATTTTGAATTGATTTGATTGAATTATATTATATGTATACTCTTTAATTTAAATGTTACTACTATACCTTACTGTCTTTGAAAATAAGAGTATCTTTGCATTAATAGATGCATTGCAAGTGAACTGCGTGAGAGAAGTGAAGCATGCGTATGCATTCCAACAAACTCGATTTAAAACAATTATATTCACGGTGTTGTCTTCTTTTCTTCTTTTTTTTTGTTGTTGTATCATAGGCACAAGGTGACAGAAAATGCGAAAGTTGGATTACGGGTAAGGAAGAGGCGGGGTGTCATTTTAGTCAGGAGATAATTAACGTGGAAAAATGTAAATTTGAAGCAGGTTCGAAACCATTTCATTTGGGTGGGAAGCGTTTTGCTGTAATCAAGAAATTCAGGGGAGTCCCATACGTGAACATTCGAGAATACTACAACACGAAAGGTACTAACAGGATGCTCCCGGGGCAGAAGGGTATCAATTTAACGGGAGAAAATTGGTGGAAATTGGTCAAGGCCAAATTTGAAATCAGCGATGCTGTCAGAGATTTGAGTAACGTGAAGAAATAGTTTTACAACTTGATGTTTTTGTTTTGGGTTTTGGTTTTTTGATAATACAACATAATAAACAAAAAGGAAGAATAAAAAAGAAATTAAAAAAAGTAGATAGTTCAAAAAATACCTGATTGACGCTCCTCCCTTTTTCCGTGACCAGGATACAATCGCCGAAAATGAATCAAAAACTTTCAAGATCCTTGCTCACTGCACATGGACAGCTATCTCCTTCACCACCACTCACACCAGAAGTCGCGATTATCGGATATTCTCCATCGAGACCCCCAGTTGTCCGCCAACTGCGGAGGCAGAATGCAGTCATAGAAGGAGTGACTACCCCAAGGGGAACAAGCAGACCTCCATCTCCATCATCCTCCTCGGGTCAGATGGAAGTAGACGTACCTGAAAAGGTCCTAGAAGTCTCCAGAAACTTAGCAGAAAGCGAGGAGATGGAGGTGGCTGCGGAGGAAGAGGAGGAGGAAGAGAAAGACGACAGACTAGACACAGATGTCAGATTGCAGGAGACGGTGACGATGGAGGCGAAAGACGGCATACATTTTCCTGTAGCACCTGTGCTACACTGTAATAGCCGTCAAGGCAGTTTCGGGTCTTATAAACGAGGCGGTGCATCAGTCGTGCACAGGATGCAGACTCAACTATCCTAGCCAGAAAGACCATGAGGACTGTATGTGGTTAGAGTGGCCAGACAAGACAGACAAGTATTTCGATGAGGCCATCACTAAGCTCACCGAGGAACGATACTTTTGCATCGTTAAATTGCTTTACTTCGTGATCGTGAATAAAATGTTTGAGGAGGAGTTGGACGCTTGCGTGCATGAAAGGAGCCACACATTTGTTCACAACGAACTGAAAAAGAAGGACGTTTTGTCAATCATCATGAGCAAACTAAAGGAGCTTTAACCGGAAATTTTTAAAAGTGGATTTCGTTTACCCTTTTGAAGTCATGTATCCACGTTGTTTGTTTTTTAAACAAAAATTCTTTATAATGTATAGGTTTAATAAAAGTAGCAATGACGATTGCGAATGAAAAAAAAATAGAACATTACTTTTGTTGCATTCTCATATTTTCGTGCAAATAGTTTTCCCGCTTGCAACCAGATTGAAGTGTATGCTGAATGTCATTAGTGATGTGCACGTGGACGTGACGATTGGGTATTGGAAGAATACGTGGGAAAGATATACTCATCCGAAGCATGAAACTGGTTTTAGTGGTGGTGAGAAACTATTTCGATTTGTCAAGAAAGAAGGTGTGATTGAGTTGTCGAGAAAACAAATAAAGCAATGACTGGAAAGTGATGTTACCTCGGTGTTACCTATACTATTCATCGTCCGTTGTGAGACGGAAATTTACGAGAAGTAGAGTCATAGCGTATGGGATAGTTGATGTATAGCAGATGGACTTGGCGGATTTGCCACTTGAAATGACATATGTAAAGGTAGCAATAGGAAAATGATTAGACGTTATAATTTTGACAAGACACTGTGATTCGTGTCTTCGCGTAACGTCTCTTTCAATTATGCGATTTATTTTACCTACTTGAGACAATGATCAGCAGTCTGATTTTTTTATTTTTTATAAGCGGTTGACACGAATTAGTTCTCTCTTTTATTAGAAATGTAAACAAAAATTGATCAACCTTTTTGCACTTTTATTTATGCTATGGCGTCATTGGTTTTCTTAAGACAAGTACATGTATTTGTCTCTTGTAATGTCTATTTAGTGTAGACACAAAGCGCGTATTGATACCAAAAAGAAGAAGAAAAAAAGCGATAACAATTACCAATTGAGAACAAATACAGGTTATAACAGGTTATGGAATCGCTAACTGCAAATGATTTTTTTTTAAACAGAAACATAAATAATGTGTACGACAAAACGGCAGAGTAATTTTAAGTCTATAGACGTTATGATATTCGTATGACATACTTATATTTAATTACGTCTTGCTTTACGTTCTGCCTTATAAAGAACTTTCAAACTATGGAAACTTGTGAACCCACAGTTGATTGATTTATTATTAAATTGTTGACCACTATCTTTTGGACAAAACAAAATCAATTTCACAAACCAATAAGTTTTTGTTTTCACTTTGAAAAATTGATGCAAAAAAAAAAGTGTTAACGCCTGTTCGCTTTTTTTTAAATTTGGTACTCCATTCTTCGACAAACCGATTGACAAGAAATTTCAGATAACATAAAAAACATGAGTTGTAGAAATCTGCGTTCAATACAAGTCTTGCATAGTAGAATGCGTTGAGATGTAGAAGCATCTCGCCTAGCGAGATGCGCGTCTTCGTGATTTTACGGAGACACATCTCTTGTGTCGAAGAATGGAGTACCACATTTTATCTACAATATGCATACAATCCACACACCAATTTTTGTATACCTTTGGAGCTGAAAACAATTATTATTCCGAGAATTCTGTACCAATGTTCATTTATACGAGACATGCGGAACATTCCCTACTCTTAATCACAAGACCTACTAAGGTTCACTCATGTGGAGCACCCTATCGCCTGAATTACGTACAAGTATATTATCTTTATTATCATTGAAGATGTAATATGAACAGATAAGTATTGTGAATGCCCTCTGAGAAACGATTTCTGTCTTTTGATTCATATTTATATTGATATTGTATGACTGTATTGTCATATTTTGTAAACCTGTTTTTTTTGGAGTTATGCTGTGTCATTGTTCTAAATCTTAGTTTTGAATATTGTTGTACTTTATTCTTGTTTCTATTGTATTATAATTTATATAATATGTTTTTTCATTATAAATGCATTTGAACTATAAAGACGGGGCCCCCTTCGAAGATCATTATTCGATATTGAAAGGGCCGTCCTGGCTATTAAAAAAAAATGACAAAAAATAAATAAAAATAAAAAATAAAATAAAAATATATACAATTCGTTTCTTAAACATGCATCCATATAAAAGTAGCTCTCAATCTTGTCGGAACTTGTACATTATTACGAGAGAAAAATTCATGTCGGGTCTGTATAGAAACAAGGAATAACGTCTTGACGGAAAGTAAAATATAAAAATAAAGTAAGAAAATGTACAGGTATTAATACTTTTTGCATCAAGTCTTGAAATGGGGTTAAACATATCGAATCGTACAAAATGATCCAACAAATTATACAAAATGTTAAAGAAAAAAAAATAACGTAATGAAAGAAAGTTTTAAAAAAGAAAAAGAAAGAAAGTGTACAGACGTTGATGCTTTTTTGTACATCAACTCTTCAAAGGGGTGGGGGAATGATCGAGTTTTGCAAAATAATCTTATAAAGAAAAAGAAATAACGTCTTGACAGAAAGTTAAATCAAAACAATTTAAAACAAATAAAAAAAAGTCTACAGGCGTTAACACTTTTTTTTTTTGTTTTTTTTTTTGCATCTAGTCTTCAAAGTGGTAGGAAAAAAAAGATCGGTTGGTGCAAAAATGATCTTTAAAAAAAAAAAAAGGTATAAAATCTATTTCAAAGAAAAAGAAATAACGTCTTGAGAGAATCAAAGTGGAAAAAAGAAATGATCGGTTCGTGCAAAATGATCAACAAAAAAAAAAAATGCTTTTTGTACATCAAGTCTTCAAAGGGGGAGGGGGAAAAAATGATCGACTCCTGCAAAATAATCTTATAAAGAAAAAGTTATAACACTTAATAAAAAAAAATAAATAAATAAAAAAAAAAGCATCTTGACAGAAAGTTAAAACAAAACAAAAATGTTAAAACTAAATTTTTAAAAAGCGTACAGGCGTTAACACTTTTTTGCATCAAGTCTTCAAAGTGGAAAAAAAGACCGATTCGTGCAAAAATTATCTTTTAAAGAAAAAGTTATACATCTTTTTTAAAGAAAAAGAAATAACGCCTTTAAAGAATCACGTCTTCAAAGTGGAAACAAAAATATGATCGGTTCGTGCAAAATGATCTACAAAAAAAAAAAATATATATATTATGAAACTTTTTAAAACGTAATGACAGAAAGTTTTTTTTTTGTTTAAAGAAAAAAATTTAAGAAGGTGTAAAGGCGCTAATGCTCTTTGTACATCAAGTCAGGCGCTAATGCTTTTTTTTTTGGTTCTACATCAAGACTTCAAAGGGGGAGGGGGAGAATGATCGACTCGTGCAAAACAATCTTATAAAGAAAAAGTCATAACACTTTTTTAAAGAAAAATAAATAACGTCTTGAAAAAAAGTTAAAACAAAATTTTTAAAACAAATTTAAAAAAAAGCGAACAGGCGTTAACACTTTTTTTTTTGCATCAATTTTTCAAAGTGAAAACAAAAACTTATTGGTTTGTGAAATTGATTTTGTTTTGTCCAAAAGATAGTGGTCAACAATTTAATAATAAATCAATCAACTGTGGGTTCACAAGTTTCCATAGTTTGAAAGTTCTTTATAAGGCAGAACGTAAAGCAAGACGTAATTAAATATAAGTATGTCATACGAATATCATAACGTCTATAGACTTAAAATTACTCTGCCGTTTTGTCGTACACATTATTTATGTTTCTGTTTAAAAAAAAATCATTTGCAGTTAGCGATTCCATAACCTGTTATAACCTGTATTTGTTCTCAATTGGTAATTGTTATCGCTTTTTTTCTTCTTCTTTTTGGTATCAATACGCGCTTTGTGTCTACACTAAATAGACATTACAAGAGACAAATACATGTACTTGTCTTAAGAAAACCAATGACGCCATAGCATAAATAAAAGTGCAAAAAGGTTGATCAATTTTTGTTTACATTTCTAATAAAAGAGAGAACTAATTCGTGTCAACCGCTTATAAAAAATAAAAAAATCAGACTGCTGATCATTGTCTCAAGTAGGTAAAATAAATCGCATAATTGAAAGAGACGTTACGCGAAGACACGAATCACAGTGTCTTGTCAAAATTATAACGTCTAATCATTTTCCTATTGCTACCTTTACATATGTCATTTCAAGTGGCAAATCCGCCAAGTCCATCTGCTATACATCAACTATCCCATACGCTATGACTCTACTTCTCGTAAATTTCCGTCTCACAACGGACGATGAATAGTATAGGTAACACCGAGGTAACATCACTTTCCAGTCATTGCTTTATTTGTTTTCTCGACAACTCAATCACACCTTCTTTCTTGACAAATCGAAATAGTTTCTCACCACCACTAAAACCAGTTTCATGCTTCGGATGAGTATATCTTTCCCACGTATTCTTCCAATACCCAATCGTCACGTCCACGTGCACATCACTAATGACATTCAGCATACACTTCAATCTGGTTGCAAGCGGGAAAACTATTTGCACGAAAATATGAGAATGCAACAAAAGTAATGTTCTATTTTTTTTTCATTCGCAATCGTCATTGCTACTTTTATTAAACCTATACATTATAAAGAATTTTTGTTTAAAAAACAAACAACGTGGATACATGACTTCAAAAGGGTAAACGAAATCCACTTTTAAAAATTTCCGGTTAAAGCTCCTTTAGTTTGCTCATGATGATTGACAAAACGTCCTTCTTTTTCAGTTCGTTGTGAACAAATGTGTGGCTCCTTTCATGCACGCAAGCGTCCAACTCCTCCTCAAACATTTTATTCACGATCACGAAGTAAAGCAATTTAACGATGCAAAAGTATCGTTCCTCGGTGAGCTTAGTGATGGCCTCATCGAAATACTTGTCTGTCTTGTCTGGCCACTCTAACCACATACAGTCCTCATGGTCTTTCTGGCTAGGATAGTTGAGTCTGCATCCTGTGCACGACTGATGCACCGCCTCGTTTATAAGACCCGAAACTGCCTTGACGGCTATTACAGTGTAGCACAGGTGCTACAGGAAAATGTATGCCGTCTTTCGCCTCCATCGTCACCGTCTCCTGCAATCTGACATCTGTGTCTAGTCTGTCGTCTTTCTCTTCCTCCTCCTCTTCCTCCGCAGCCACCTCCATCTCCTCGCTTTCTGCTAAGTTTCTGGAGACTTCTAGGACCTTTTCAGGTACGTCTACTTCCATCTGACCCGAGGAGGATGATGGAGATGGAGGTCTGCTTGTTCCCCTTGGGGTAGTCACTCCTTCTATGACTGCATTCTGCCTCCGCAGTTGGCGGACAACTGGGGGTCTCGATGGAGAATATCCGATAATCGCGACTTCTGGTGTGAGTGGTGGTGAAGGAGATAGCTGTCCATGTGCAGTGAGCAAGGATCTTGAAAGTTTTTGATTCATTTTCGGCGATTGTATCCTGGTCACGGAAAAAGGGAGGAGCGTCAATCAGGTATTTTTTGAACTATCTACTTTTTTTAATTTCTTTTTTATTCTTCCTTTTTGTTTATTATGTTGTATTATCAAAAAACCAAAACCCAAAACAAAAACATCAAGTTGTAAAACTATTTCTTCACGTTACTCAAATCTCTGACAGCATCGCTGATTTCAAATTTGGCCTTGACCAATTTCCACCAATTTTCTCCCGTTAAATTGATACCCTTCTGCCCCGGGAGCATCCTGTTAGTACCTTTCGTGTTGTAGTATTCTCGAATGTTCACGTATGGGACTCCCCTGAATTTCTTGACTACAGCAAAACGCTTCCCACCCAAATGAAATGGTTTCGAACCTGCTTCAAATTTACATTTTTCCACGTTAATTATCTCCTGACTAAAATGACACCCCGCCTCTTCCTTACCCGTAATCCAACTTTCGCATTTTCTGTCACCTTGTGCCTATGATACAACAACAAAAAAAAAGAAGAAAAGAAGACAACACCGTGAATATAATTGTTTTAAATCGAGTTTGTTGGAATGCATACGCATGCTTCACTTCTCTCACGCAGTTCACTTGCAATGCATCTATTAATGCAAAGATACTCTTATTTTCAAAGACAGTAAGGTATAGTAGTAACATTTAAATTAAAGAGTATACATATAATATAATTCAATCAAATCAATTCAAAATGGTTTATTTCAAATAAAACTGTCATCGCGGCATTAAGCCGAATTACAAAAGTTTACAAACAAAAATTAATAACACATAGCATAACATGATATATTGAATTTGTAAAAACAAATCAGTATATTACTTGACTTATGGACACTTACCCTCATTGCCAAGAGTTCAGGAGGGATTGCTGGTTTGAGCTTCTTCTGCTCCACCGGAGACATTGAAAAACTGGCCCGATGTAAGACATTGGTGGCGTTGTTCTCTGGTATCATCCTGATCTTAGGCGTGTTTAACACAGTGTTGTGGATGGTGGCTGTTGTAGTGGTAGACTTTTTCGGTGAGCGAGTGGCCATCATGGTTATATATAAAGAGTTAGACCTACGTGTGGTATATGCTATAGAGATGCTTTCAAAGAATGAATTGTAGCTCAGTGCTGAATGTGATACCTTATCTCAACACCACCCTGGTGTATATTTTGTCTCTTCACTACACGTCTCAATGCACCACACCCCACGACCAATCACAACGCACTCCTTTAAGGGGGAAGGAGCTCTTAATTAGTCTATTGTTCTTTTAATTAATGCTAATTAGCTATGAATAGCTCATGCATGATTCACTAATTTAGCGCTGTCTATGATACAAAATGGTGCGAATCCTCCGACGTTTATACCTTACCTCACCCCTTAGGTTACGCCCCTCTCAGTCACCCCATCCTTTTTCCTCATCCAATCACAAGCACGCACAATGGTGACGTCACTCCAACAAGGATCCTCGCATTCTCATTGGTCGGAAATACGTACCTGCGTACAAACAACATAACTGGCACAGGCCCATTGTTTTGGTCATTTGGTCATTGCCCGTCCTACCAGTAACACGTCCATCCCCAGACCTCTCCCATGATGATGATGACTCATGATGTAAACACTTCCTCCAGAGGAAAGACCCTCATAATTCCAGTTTTATGACCCAGATGCCCCCCTTTCCCATGAAAAAAAAACTACCTGCATTAATTCACACACATCCTGACAGGAAATACCTGCATTAATTAACACACATCCTGACCGGAAATACCTCGTTAAATTTCATTTCCTCTTCCCTATTGTTTTATGGAAGTCATTAAAAAGGATTAAGTAATTAAAAGGGATTAATACCCCCCGGATTAAAAACTCCCTCAAAGGCCCTATACAGCTGCTGCAGGGTACGTGCTTAATTCCATGTGGTATGTACCCGTTATCATTGTTCCCATCATGCATTTGGCAACCCTTCGCGTAATAAGATCAAGCAGAATTCGCATTGAAGGGCATAGGAGCCAAGCAGTGATGAAAATGGAGAGAAATGACGTCGTTGTTGATGTTGATCCAGCTCACCAACAGCATAATGGGCTCCACGAAACAATCGCCGTCACCGATGATCATGATGATACCGAATCATCTCGAAGGATAGAGACAGGGATAGGTCATGCAGAAACACCTACAGTGCAGGCTACAACCAGGGCTGCAATCACGGACGATGCAGATTTGCCACATGGGGAACACCGCGCCCCAACCTGCTGCTCACGATTCTGTTGGACAACGCACGGCGCCCTCAACGTACAACCTCAACGAAATCGTGGCCTGGCCACAAGTGAGATGCGACTGTTGAAGATGATGTTTCTCATGTACATCATTCTCCTTATCTCCTTTTTACCAGCCATTTTGTCCTTCACTCCGATCATTTTAAAGGGACCTGCACGTTACCTCGGTTACTTCGGGTTTTTGATTCCGATCTACCCGGCCACAATGCCCTACATTTTTCTTTGGAGCAACAAAAACTTTCGCTCAGCTGCTGCTAAAGTCATCCTGAGTGTTAGAAGGCATTTTAGAGGACAAGTTGAGCCACACTAAACGAAGAACAATGCTCCTCATAATAATTGATTTACATATAATTTATGTGCATCTTTATTTTGCGCGAGTTCGCATCGCTGTATTCAAATACAGTTAGCAACTAAATTATTCATACCCTTAATTACTAAGTTTCATAAGAATGTGACATAATGAAGCTTACATCTAAAAGTATTCAACGAAGGCCCCAATTCGATCAGTACACCTCTCATTCTTGAGTTACGAAAACGCACACAAAATATACAATTTACAAGGGCTACGAATAATTAAGTTGTTAGCTTTACGTGTTCTTGTACCACTTTGAAATGCGATATGAATTGCACGAAAAAGGTTTATGATGGATCAGGATCCCTTTACAGACTTTTTTTTGTCTTTCTTCATTTTTATGAAAAATAATTTCAATCGGTTATATTTCGCATTCAGCTGCAGCTATATAATGATTAATAATATTGATTTAACGGGCAAATATTTATTTAGACAAACGTATTCTATTAGGATGGCTTTATCAAGATTTACTTTTTAATCGATGCTGAGTAAAGAGCTGGCAGCTTTTATTTATTGTCGTTTATCAATTCATACATAAACATGTAAACATAGACAACGCGTTCTGTCATGAATGGCGATTGACTGATTTATTGATTGATTGATTGACAACATCTGACGAAATGAATCGACTTCTCAGGAATCGAAGAAAGCATTTGGGAAAAGGATTCATTTTCCATTAATGGGACTGGTCTATTCTAAATGTAACCATAATAAAATCTAAGTAATATTTCAAAAGGTAAGCGCGTTCATGTCATGTTTCGTAACGCAGCATTACAATTACACGTTCAATATAAATTCAGCACATTCACTATTTCATATTGCTGAATGTAGCCATGTCATTGTATGTAACAACTTTTTCTGATATCATACTCATAGTTACATTAAAAATATTATGGATTCATGTTTTTAAGGTAACGGTAGGGCGTAGGCGACATAATTCTCTCGAACGTTTGGAAACATGTGTCATGCTGATCTCTTCCTTATCTCCACCATTGACTGGCCAAAGACTACGAGACCGACGGGCCACGAGACGCCAATTGATCTGCTGAAAATGTTTTCCCCACTGTTCACTAGACCAATGGCCAGCGAGACAGACAATTTATGTCTCGTCAACCTTGTAACAACCTTTTTTTTAATGGTTTACAAGACTGATAGCTCATGAGGATGTCAGTTTCGCCCATGAGACCTACAATCGGTCACCTAAGTTGTTGGCTTGCTGGGATGATCACACCAGGGCCAGTACTGTCACATTGATTGAGTCCACAAATACTTTTTATCCTGCAGTAACTGCGCTAGATCTTCCTTGAAAGGTTTGTAGAATTCATCAAGTAACTGTTGTGATGCCGGAAGCAACTTTCCCAGTGACCTGTCCTCTTGCTTTCTCTGATTCTCTCTGGACGATGATGTGATGTTGAAGAGAGCATCTTGAGAGAGCGGATCTAGCGAAAATAGAATTAAAGGGGGATGAGAAGATGATGTTCATATGAATATGGATTACGACACCAAGAAATGGAGATATAATTTAGAGTTGAAGATAGGAAGAGAGAGAGAGAGAGACGGGAATAATAACTTGTGGGGTCAGGAATGTGGACATTGGTAGTGTAAATGTTTTAACGTCGGATACACTTTGGATTCTGTTTCTTTAGATGATACGAAATTTGTACGGCGATATTTTGTCAAGGTTTTTATATATTTCGTATAAGTGTACACTCGAGCTGCACAAGTTGCAATTGTGTATTTGGGTAGGTTTGGAGCTACCGTGGGGGGGGGGGGGGGTTCGATGTGAAGCCAAAGATTGACACGGTCAATATCAATGTCCTTTGGCAAGACATTAATCTACATTTGCCACACTCAACCCAAGTGAGATAAATGGGTACCTGGCAGGAATAAGTCCCTTGAACTGCTAGAGTGCCGAAATGGCAGCCATGCTAATCCGGGGTTATAACTTCCAAAGCTCTTTGGAAGCGCATAGAGACGTTGTAATGTGATATGCGCTATACAAGAACCAAATATTATTTAGTAGTATTAGAAATTGAAAACGGAGCAATTGCCGCCAGATTTGACTGTGTGTCGTACAATCTTTAAAGAGCAAATGTGTCGCACCTACCTATTTCCAAGAAACTGAATATCCTGCTCAGTTCTTTTGCCGGATCTTTAGCCCAGTCTTCGGTTCTTAGGATGTGGATCTGTTCCCGTGGGTACCTCTTCAACCAGTCTCGTATGAAGACAGAGTACATTCCTACTCTTAATCTCTGTGAACGGAAAAGGAGATGCATGCAGTCTTTTATCCATTGCTGCCTTGCACAAAATGTACTAAAACTATACAGTCATCGTGGCCATGGACTATGAAAATCATGCAACTGGTGAAATATCAAACGAATGAAATGTTCTGATGATACAGTTGGCACCCTGATCGTTGGGTATCTATCCGGGTGTATGTATTTAGCTTCTTCTTTTTTCTTCAAAATTGCTACCAAGGGTTGTCGATGAAGGGGGGGGGGGAGGAGGGAAATCCCTTCATTCTGTCAGCACATGTGTAACATTGTGAAATGATTTAGTGTAAATTTGATGACTGACTGTGTTGAAAAATGACAAATCTCGGGACCACGTTAAGGTATCTTGAGCTTGCATGAATATTCGGTAAAGTTGTTAACAAATAGGCTATTAATAAGTATCTGACAAAGTTGTGAGCCACTTACCATATTAAATTTGAAATTAGCACACGTCTCCAGTGGATATTTCTTCATACAACGGCTGAAATCTTGAAGCGACTGTACAAGACGATGGTGAAAGTCCTGTGGTGACTTGACCCCATGCCACTCCAAGTCAAACGCCATATAACCCGAGTACAGTCTCTCCGTCGGTTCCCTGAGAAGCAGAAGGAAGCGGGATTCAGGTAGAACTGCCCTGAGGACGTCGGCGTGGGTCCACCGAGGAGGCTGGTGGATGGAACCGAATTTACCAAGCGAGTAAGTGTTATCCCAGAGTGTACTGGCGGAAGCATCCACTGTAACATTGAAGGTTGATATCTTGTAAATGTTAAGCATAATTCATGAGCTCTCACATTTAATTTTTGTTATTACGTTGTGGAAGAATATCGTTAGATTTGTCACCTGGAAAGAATAATCTTGGAGTGACCCCGTGTTCTATATTTGAAAATAAGAAATATTCAAGATATTATTCCTATTCTTGTATAATACATAATCAATCGTTAAAAAACGACTTCTAGACAGTCTCATTTAAAATGTAATAGCACTATAGGACGATCCAATCCTTATAATAAGTTCATTTGTATGAAAGTAGAAAAATAAGATAAACAAAAGAGATCAAGTTTTAAATGAATCGGACTAATAAGAAGAGAGTTATGAATGTTTGAAATATAAGATCACTTAGTTTATGCGAATCTCAAATTAGCAGTTGGTTTATAGTAGATTGTGACGTAGTCGCGGATTACTCTCCCGTATGTCGAGTACACAATTATCATTAATTTATGTTTTTCTCCTAAGTGCATTCTCCCTTGGGGCACTACCTGTTATATATATAATGGATAGCATATCATTATAGGACCTCTAAAGAGAAAAGAACCTCCTGAGTCATACATGTTTTAATGTCTACTTATCTGACTTTTCTCGAGTCTAAGAGTAGATTTTTTTTGCTATCAAGGTTGGATTACTTTTTAAACATAAGGCCATTCTCTTGAAAAATAAGGCCATATGGGGTATATTTTAAATCATTCATTTTTTTCTAAATTTCTTCCTGAACACGATTGCCAAACATCCCGCTGCGAGAGATGTTTCTGGCATGATTCGTTTCCTTCGGGGGGGGGGGGGCACCCTGGATATCCTATGCTAATGCTAGGAATCATAATGACCTAATTAAAACCGAACGGTAGATTAATGAAAAAAAATCTCCTTAAGAGAATTAGTTTAATTAATGCTTCCATCGGTTTGTTATTTTAGGGTATATTATTAGGGATTTACATTGTATTTGTGATGTTAATTGAACTCAGGGAGTCACGCTTTATAACCATGTCGAGGTCATCAATTGATGTATCGACTTCCAGGTAGAGGGGAGCATTTCACAAAACATATCATCAATGACAAATGACAGTTTTTGTTATGAGCTACTGAAATCCTTGCTTCTGATTGGTTATCAACAGATTTGTTATTGATTTTTGACATTTGTCATTGAACAAAGGCTTTGTGAAACGGGTTCCAGAACGGTGATTTCAACTATTGCAATGAGTAGGATCATCCAGTCGCGTCAAAGGGAAATCCAATTTTAAGCAAACAACGAAAAACAGTTAAAAGAAAGCAGAAAAGTCAGAGACGTAGACTGGTAACAGTTTTAACGAAATCGGACCCCCCCCCCCCCTCCACACACACACACACACACACAAAAGAAGAGGAAGAAGAAGAAAGTTATGGCATTTTGAACGTTGTAATAACTATACCTTTGGAATCGAGAATATTACTGTGATAATAGTGCGGGACAATTTTTCTATTCGTTCCAACACAAAAGTCACTAATTTTTTCTTTTCAAACTCGACAGTGTCCTTTTTTCTTTTAGAGGACCTATAATAATATACTCTCTATAATAAATGTTGGGTAGTGCCCCAAGGGAGGTGGCAATTGGGAGAAAAACAGAAATTAATGACATGTTTGCGCGAGTCAAACGGTATAGTAGTCCGTGTCTACGTCACAACTCACTGACAGAATTGATCATTTGAGATACGCTTAGATTTAGCGATGTTATATTTTAAACACTCTTAACTTTCTTTATATTGGTTCCATCTTCTTCAAATATTCTCCCTTTTGTTTCCTCTTTATTTCTGCTTTCATACAAATTAAATCATTGCAAAAACGGATTCGCCTTTAATTTAAACTGTTCAAGATAAGTCGTGAGTGCTACTAATGGATTTGTTTTTTTGGATGGAAAATGTAAACCAACGACGACTCTGAAAAACACAACACAAATTGGCATATAGGAGATCTTCACGGAACTACACTTTTGATTTGTGATATTGATGAGTTTCAATATAAAGGGGAGTAGCCTTGACAGGGCAATGACCTTTTCTACTCCCTCACCACTTGATCACACCACCTTCATCACTGTGCACTCATTTGATGAATTTGAATTTGAATGTAGAGTTGTAGTATAATGTCGATTTCACTGGAGATAACATTATGTCTAATAAACCGTTTTTTACAAATCGTTTTGCAGATTATCTTGTTTTTTGTTTCGTCTTGAACAATCAATGTACAAGTGTTGTTAGTTCTATTAAAACTTATTGATCGTTGTTATCAGTTTCGTCGTTTTTACTGCCATAGTTGATATTATTACTGATGTGGGTGTGTGTGTGTGTGTGTGTGTGTGTGCGTGTGTGTGTGTGTGTGTATCGGGGGGGGGGGGGTAGTTGATAAGTAAAGGGGAAAATACACACATAGCGTACTGCTAGTACAAGGTTCATCGATGTTTTTAATGTAGTGGGTGTGGTAATAGTGGTGGTGGTGGTGGTGGTGGTGGTGGTGGTGGTGGTGGTGGTGGTGATGGTAATGGTGATGGTGATGGTGATGGATATGGTGATGGAGGAGATGATGGTGAAATGGTGCTTGTGGGGATGATGATGATGGTGGTAATATTGTTGGTGATGATGATGATGGTGTTGCTGATGGTTATGGTGGTGATGGTGATAGTGAAACTGCCGATGATGATGGAGGTGGCGGTGGTGGTAGTGGTGGTGATGATGATGCTGGCCATGAAGATGATGGTGGTAGTGATGGTGATAGTGATACTGTCGATGATGACGGTGGCGGTGGCGGTGGTAGTGGTGCTGATGGTTTTGTAGTGGTTTAGGTGAGCGTGTGTATGTTGAAACAATGCGCTCAAATCACTCGAAAGAAAAATTCAGGAGAGGTCAAATAAAAAATCTAGCTCAGAGGGAGAGAAATTAAAATACATTCAGACCTGAAACAGATTGATCTTGGAGTAGCTTCTATATCAAAGCGACTAGTGCATAATTTAGTACATGTACTTACGAGTGATTAATCGTCTGTTACCGGTGTCTCGCATCTGTCTCACGAGGTTGGTCTGGTGTTTCAAATAGTGCAGCACACTTTCTCCTTTCAACAACAAAACATGCAGAAAACAACGTTATAGACAAACACCCTCACTGCAAATATATGATATTCATCATTCTCACTGAAAGTCTTTATCTGACTAGACCGTGCTCTCACATCTTTCAAAAATACTTTTTCGTACTAAATTTTCAAAGAAGTAAAAAAAAAAAAAAAAAAAATTCGGAGGATCTCGTTATTCTTAAACCACTTTTAAAGGGATCGCCTAATTTGCTGCATGGTAATTGCTGTGACTTATTTGAAATGAAAATCGACATGTTAAAATCAAAAAGTGTATACTAGAGAGGGATAATCGCCAGCATCGCCCACGCCACCCATGGCCATCGGACACTCATGAGTGTCCGGTTGATAACTCGAATCGTTGATGGGAGTATATGCTGAGCATAGACACGTTCCTCTTCCCAATTTTGTCTTGTCTTTTTTATTTTCTTCTTTTGTTTTGTTCTATTTTTAGCCGTTCGAGTGCCGGGGGCGGGGGGGGGGGGGGGAGGGAGAGAGGGGGGTTACCCCCGATAATCTACCCCCTTCCTACGTAGCCCACATCAATGGAATCTTACTTGTGAATCTTGTGCGGGTCCACCAGTGTGGTTCTTTGGACGTTGGCACGACGTCAGGATGACGAATCAATTTCTTGAACAGGTCGGTGGTGGCGCACTTTGGAAATCCGGCAAGAAATACATTAGGGAGACATGCCAGGCTCGACCTATCTTCTTCGTGTAAATTAAAACAAGGACTGCGGTATTCGGGTAAAAAGTTTTCGGGGACAACTCGGAAGATCTGTAATGAGTTTAAACAAAATTTAAAAAAACATGCACCACGTTCAGAACGTTCGGAATTATAAAACAATTGATGCAGAATTTTGACGGGAAACTGAAAACCATTCGAAATTCCTGATTTTAATTTAAACATGTTTCAAACACAAAAAAGGGAAAAGAAAAGTTTACGTATTGTTAACCCATTCACACACACACAACAGAAGACATAAATCCTCATCGAATTTGTTCCTGTCTGAATACTTATGATACTTATTGCTTGAAATATTTTCTACCCCCTAATATATTTCTGGAGATCTTAAAGATCAACCAGTACCTACCACCTTAACATTTTTACCCCCTACAAAAAAAACACGGTTTCCAGGACCCGTCGATCTATGGTCTTTAAACATTTGAATCGGGGGATTCAAGCAGAAGAATATTACTGACACTTACTGCTTTGCCGAGGAGAGTCAGGTTTCTAGGAAGATTAGCTCGATCAAAGACCAGAACTGACTTCCGTTCGAAGTCTTCCCTCATCTCTCTCAGCTGATTCCGTATACTGCCCATCAGATCTGCTGGCAGAACTGGACTATCCTCTTGAATAGCATGTCTCCAGTTTGTTTCATTCAGATATGAGAAATTGTCCATCGTTTTCATAATTCCAGGGGGACTGTAACTGTCTGCTTTTTTCTTGAGTTTCCACAATTCAAGGTCCTTAGAGTGTGAAGGAGCAGAAATTGTAGTTTCGTATTTCTTCCTATCGCGGAAATCCAAGGGCCGAACTTTTAGAGACATTACCTTCTGGAGATCGCCTCCCATATAACCATCCGCGCCTTGTGGAACAACATCGACAGGATCCGCTCCGGAATTCATGACGCCGTTACCATGGTTACGTGATGATGAGGGTCCAGTAGAGTGTCGAAACGTCAAGGACTGCTCTCTACCGGTATCGATCTCTCGAAGATCCTCTCTTCTCAAGCGATCTTCGGCATTGTCAGCTGGTTCTTGACCTGAAATCACGATGTCTAAGTAAGATGCCCTTGGTAGTGATTGGCCCTTTGAAACCTGTCCGTACATCAGCGAAAAGATGCCAGATAATACAATCACCAGACAGATTATTTGTACCTAGTCGATAAAAAAGAATTACAACAGTCACATCATTGCCGTCAGTCTTAAAGGTACTATGTTCCTTTTGCAGCCAACCTCAAATGCTGTAGAACTTTGCAGGAATTATTAATATGTCATGTATGTCCTATCTGTAAAATTTAAACGTTAGCAGTGTCCTCATATTCAAATTATGCAAGGAAACCCGTTTACTTGCTAGACTTCACTGTCAGACACTATTTAGTGACTGACTGGCTTTTTTTCTTCTTTGGTAATGACATACATAAACAGAGTTGTAAAGGGTACATGAGCATTTGTCTACATCAATAACCCACTTCTTGTGATAGCCAAGATTAAACTGATTGAATTTTGGCGCAGCATAAAATGTATGACTATTCGGTACAATTGTCTGAAAATCAAGACTATTACTTTTGGGCTCTATAGCCCTAAAGTCGATTCGACAACTAATAGTCGTTATTTTCGCACTTGAAGACATTTTCAAGCCCCACCTTTTTTAGGGAAGTTCTAAATTAGTATTATCTTTCAAATGCAGTTGGAATTCAACGTTTTCATTTTTTTGGCCTGCAAATGGGACATAGTACCTTTAATGAAAAAATGAGGAAAGTGATTATCATATATTTTCATGAAGCCGGGGTAAAAAAAAAAAAGCCATCGTTGTTTGTCAAAAAAATTGGGTTATCACTTGCCGATTGTAATATTTTCACTCATATATATATATTTATTTATATATAGCAGTTTATCATTTTTACATATTTTAACATGATGTAAGTAAAAAGATGAATTATAGGCAATCGTACCAAACGCAGTGGAGAAGATGTGGGGGGGGGGGGGGGGAGGTCATTCCCATCTGATACCCTAACCGCTGATGAACCCAGTATAAATTCGTATAAATTACATTAAACTCAAGGCCCGTAATACACGGCTTTTCGATCGTGACCTACCCTTCCAGATTCGGAAATCCTCGCTCTCTACGTTTCCCATCCCTTCCCCCATTGTCCCGTGGTTACGTGGCATTCTTTCGTCTAACCCACCTGTTCATGACGATTACACTGAGCACGCGAATAATGCTCAGGAATTTCACTTGAACGCAAAAAAAAGATTATGACCTTAATAAAAGAAAAATTCTCTAGCAGCTGTGTACTGTGAATGTATGCTCAACATTGCATACAATTTGATATCCTACCATGCCATTCATCGAAACATTTCTCCAGCTTTTTGTTTTGTGAATGTCATATTGGAGGTTTAAGGTTCAGTCCGGTATTTTGCCCGACTGTGCTACGTTCCCTGATTTCTTATATTACCTGACATCATTGACTGTTATACAAAAACGTACACTACCATGCAACCACCATCACTCCTATTCCTGTTACTACTAGTAGTAGTACTTTAACTACTACTTTAGTTACTACTACTACTACTACTACTACTACTACAACTTCTACCATATTTATGTATTCTGTATCAATACTACCTCTACTGTTATTTCAGGTAAACTATTAGCTTACCAAGAGTTTGAAGAAACGTCGCCTGAGCTCCATCATGAATTTTTTTCCCAGGAGCTACCGGAAGCTAGATCTGCTTCAGTCTTTATTTCAATGTAGGACGGCGATTATTCCCTTTAAAGAAATGATTAAAACATTATGAGGATAGTATAGCTAGGTAGATCGAAAGGATAATAATAATATCACATTCTTTGAGATGAGCCAATTCAGAATTTAAACGGGGGAACCTAAAATCCCATCAATAGAAACCCATGAAAATTTGGTTCGTAGGGTTTGACACAATAGAAGAGCGATTTCCGGAATACAGTCATTACAGGATCTTAAACGATTTGCTAGAATACACATACAAGTCTGTCACATCCCGTTTACCTACACAACAAGTTCCGGTCTGAGACGCGGAGACAATGCCAAAGATATATTTATATATTTGTTTCAAATGAAATCATAGAAAATGATCAGACAATATATATGGTTTTGAAATAAACAAATCTTTCTTATTATTTTGCTGATGATCTTTTTTGTGTCTTGACCATAATCGTAATCTTCTTCTTCTTCTCCTTATTTTTCTTTTTCTTCTTGTTCTCCCCCTTCTTTTTCTTTTTCTTTTTTGTATCCTTCTTCTTTCTCTTCGCTCTCCTTTTCTTCCTTTACCTTTTCTTCCTTTACCCTTTCTCCTTCTTCTTCTTCTTCTTCTTCTTCTTCTTCTTTTTCATCTTCTTCTTCTTCTTCTTCTTCTTCTCCTACTCCTTCTTCCTCTCCTTCTTCTTTGGTTCTTGTTCTTCCGCTTTTTCTTAATTGTCATGATAATAATCTTTTTCCCTTTTCTCTTGTTCTGCTTCTTCTTCTCCTAAATCATCATCATTTTTATTCTTCTTCCTCTTACTTCTTACTACTACTACAACTGCTACTACTACTACTACTACTACTCAGTGGCGTACGCAGGATTTTTTTCAAGGGAGGGTGTTTGAAAATTTGAAAATCGCGCCGCTCAGTGGGGGAGTGGAGTAGTCATTTGTTTCCAAAAAAAAATTGAGGGGGGTTCAAACCCAAACCCCACCCCCCCCCCCCCCCCCCCCCCCCCTCTGCGTACGCGCCTGCTACTACTACTTCTATACTGATTCTACTACTTTGTCTTCTTCTTTTTCCTCTTCCTTTTCTTCTTCTTTTTCTTCCGCCATGTCAATTTTGGCTTGATAGACGTTATGACCAATGAGGAAATGCAATTTCCCCATGTGGCTTGTACTTGGAACATGTCTGTATAAATAATCCCATTTAAAAACAACATGTGCAATGAGTTTAACAAATCAAGGAAATGTTATTCAATAAAACTCGAGTGCTCGAAGGGACAATTTGACTAGTTTAATGTTGTAGAGACGGCTTCCTGGATAACATTGGCTATGACCTTGCAATTGTCGCTCTTTATATTTAATGGATAAAGAATGTTCTGGGCAAATGTCCGAGTCCTGTATTCTTTCTGTCTTTCTATCTGACTTTCTTTCTTCCTTCTTTATTTTGTTCTTGCTTGCTTGCTTCTTTACATAGCGATGAAACATCTTAACCCGAAATATCTTGAACGGCAATATGCGATCATTTAATTGCTACAGTTATAATGAAATTTATTAAAGATGAAGTCCATTTGGCAATGAACATGATTAAGGCTACTGTAACAGTCACCAGAGTGTATAATGATAATCTATGAAACTTAAGTTTATTAGATTATGAACTTGTGAGCGCTCTCGAAATGAGTATGGTGATAATATATAATACATAGAGATTGATATTTATTCCCTCCCTTTAATTGTTTCTTGCAATTCTTGCCACTGATTTAAAATAGCAATGATATATCAAAGATAAAGGTAGGTAGATACATATATAGGTAGATGAGTAGATAGAAAGATAGATAGATAGATAAATAGATAGATAGATAGATAGATAGATAGATGTATAGATAGATAGACAGATAGATAGATGTATAGATAGATAGACAGATGGATAGATATATGGATATATATATATATATATATATATATATATATATATATATATATATTGACAAATAGAACTAGAAAGAAACTGAGAGAGATGAGAGAGGGGAAAATTAAATTATAGAAATATAGTAGAGAGGAAGGCAAAGAGAGAGGGTGAGAGATAGAAAGAAATAGAGAAAGAAAGACTATAGACAGAGAGAAGGGGGAGAAAAAAAGTGGAAGGAAGGTGGTTATGGGGATTGGTTGGTTGATCATTTATTACGTTTGGCATGAGGGATTTTAGATTTGCACGAAGACAATGTAGATTGCTACGGTCGACGTCCTTTTAATGCACTGCCTTGAATAGACTTCACACGTATCAGTCCACGCAAATCTAAAAGTCCCTGTTATCAGGCTGTCAACAACAGTCAAACTTGACCATAGTGACATTGTATGGTATACCCATACCAGGATAATTGAATTCAGTTTGATCGATTTTATGGATGCTGCTTCCCAATTCCTCTTGTACAAATTGAAGACTTTAACCATGTTAACCTTGATTGCAATTTGCTATTTTAGTGGAAGCAGCAAAAATAGGGGATACCAGCTAAACATTTGACCAAAAAAAAGAAGAGACAGGTATATTTTATAGGCCTAAAATTGAAAACATAATCACTAAATCTAACAACAATTTGGCATGAAGGTTTTATATGAATAGTGAATTCTTTTAACATCGAATCTAGCAATAACTGGGCATGGAGGTAATATAAATAGTGAAATGTTTAAAAACATTTTACAGCATGATCTTTGCTCGTATCATTGTATATACGAGTTTAACCCTCTTTCCCGAAACGTTCATGATTCAATATACCTGTTATTAACATCATGCATGTAAACACTGCACTCCCTTCGAAAACTAGCAGAGGGCTTGCAACCCCTTTGCATATGACACTTTTTGTCAACAGTGTTACATTTATTCTCTATTTAGTGGTACATTATCATTCAAGTATTCATGACTTTCTTGATGATAATGTTATTGTTATTCAAGTAAATTTAATTGCAATAACAAACTATCAGATCTACTACTACTACTACTACTACTACTACTACTACTACTACTACTACTACGAAACCTACTACTACTACTACTACTACTACTACTCCTACTACTACTAATACTACTACTACTACTACTACTACTACTACTACTACTACTACTACTACTACTACTACTTCTAATACTAATACTACTACTACTTCTAATACTACTACTACTACTACTACTACTACTACTACTACTACTACTACTACTACTACTACTACTAATACTACTAAAAACTACTACTACTACTACTACTACTACTACTTATAATAAAAAATATTTTGTTTAGCCAGGGAAGTCTCATCAGCATCAGCTAGTGCTGTTCTTCATTTGGGAA